TCTCTCTCGCTCGAATAACTCGTCCGATACGGCTCGCTATTAATAGCCACCAATTAGCGCGGATAGAGGCGCAAATGTTGATTACAGAGCGAGTTTACGCTCTACACTCGGTCCTTAATTGAATTAATAGATAGATAGAGACGTAACGCGTGTAGACGCAAGCTGGATAAATGTTGTTGGCGCAATTAGCAATTCTTTCCCTTTCGTTATTATTTCAGGAAACACGTTGCTCGCACTCCGCTCGAGATATTATACAAATCACGGGCCGCTTTTTTTCAGCCCTTCGCGGCCCATAAGAGAAACATTCTTTAAAAAGGCAAACATTTACCTTACAAACGCTTATAAATGATTATTAGCCCTGGCCGAGGTAATATTTTTCGCAGTAGATTTAAAAGAAGAATTATTTGGACACTGACGTCTTCGAACTTGCGTTTATCACACGAGAGTCTTACGAATTTTATTAATTTGTTAAGTAATTATTAATTATAAAAAGCAGAAATGGAATGAAATCATAATATTACTGTATCCCGTGTTTTCAAAGATATATGTAATTGAATATTCAATTGCGTATCTTACAATTGCAAAAGATTCAAGGTAGCGACGAAAAGTTTCAAGAAAGAACACGACAGTGGCTTCATAGAGGAACCCAGTGGGACGCAAAGGGTTAAGCACGACGTTCCTACGCTGAGAAAAATGTCCGATTAAATATAATCGGATAATCCAATTACGTAATAACAAACGGATATATCCGATTAAATTGTATACTCGGTGAAAAATATGATCGGTTTTTCAATCAAATTTCATCGGTAACTGTATTTTATCGGATGTATCTATAATTTAATCGGAAAAATTAACCATCGGAAATACTGTTTAATTAGTTCATCCGATGGAAATTTTTCTCAGTGTACGCATTCTCGACCCCCTTCCTACCGATCTGAGAATCGGTGAGACGCCGGCGATAAGAGCGATATTTTATATCGAATTTTTTAAAGCGTTATCGTTGCTGGAAATACGAGCATACGTACATACACGAATGAGTCAGATCGACACGCGACGACAAACGGCTTTTACGAACGATCCCCTCTTAGATCGTCAAACGCGTGGATATAACACGCGCGTGAGGCAATTCGAGTAAAAGGTGTGCATCGCGCGCAAAAATACCGCGGCTAGAGACACGATATCCCGCGGGGATCGCCGCCCTCCTTCCCCTTTTCGCTGTTTCTCGCTTCGACGTAAACAATTCCGTCATAATTATTCGGTTCCGCGGGACGTAAAAGCCAAGTCAGACTAGCAATTGCCGACTCGGATTGGATCGGGATTGGCGATAGGCAATTGCCTTCTAGCCAGTGAGAGCAAAGCGGCCAACGATTTAATCGACTCTCATTGGTTAGAAGACAATCGTCAATCGCCAATCGCCAATCCCGATCCAATCCGCGTCGGCAATTGCTAGGCGGATTCGGTCTTAAGGCTGTTCTCCACGTAAAGCTAGCGCCACACTATGCGCGATTCGCCATTCGCAGTTATTCGCTAGCCGAGCGGTTTTTTGACTAGTATTGAAACTTGACTAATATCAAATTAAAAGTTGTCGAAGTTAACACGAACGAAACGGCGAATAAATTACGAATGATAAACTGCGAATCACGAATAGCGCGGTAAGTAACAACGAATGTCCAACGAATTTCTGCGAATCGCGCATTACGAACTGCGCACGGTGTGGCGCTAGCTTTAGAAAGATCTCGCCCAGAAATGGTGAGTTTCGACCCGCCGGCGCGCGAATCGCTCGCGATTCGCGGAGTGCCGCGTCCTTGACGGAATTCCTTCGACGACATTCGTCGCTCGATTCAACGGCCAATATCGCGCCTATTGTTTTATCGCGTCGATCCAGCGCTTTCTTAGAGGCTTGATCTACAATAGACGCGGCAAGTCGCGAGCCGCAGGAAATCGGTCAATGACAGTCGATTATTCTTCTCACATTTGACTGTAATTGGTCGATTTCTTGCGGCTCGCGACTCGCTGCGTCTATTGTAGATCCAGCCGAAGGAGGCGCTTCGCAAATACCCGCGTCGCGTACGGACACACTTTTAATAACGGACGCTCCGAGCGCGGTGGGCGGAGGGTGGTGCCTCATTACACGGTTTCAGGGACAATTTCCTTAATTCCCTTTCCACCGCGTGATTCACGGTCTCGGCGCGCCCTTGGCCTTACCGCGATTCTGTCCTACTATAACGACGAGAGGGACAGAGGGGGGTAGAGGAAAGAACAAGGGGGGGGGGAGAAAAAGAAGAAAAAAGTCAGGAGCGTATCTCGCGAGAGACCCGGGAACGACTCGACGGAGGGGGCGGCGGTGGAGGCGCGAGGGGGAGGGAAGGATAAATGAAACGCTGAACGCGTGCGCTACGCGTCGACACGGCTACGGTATGCCAAGGTTAAAGCGACTTACGGCAAAGTTTTAACGAGTCGACCCGAACGCGCCGCGCCAGCGGCCGCCGATCGGTCGAAGGCGCGAGCGCGCGCGCGCGCGCTCACGCCTCCGCGAGCGATCGCGTGAAATTTCGTGTATCCCGCTAGCAGCGAAAGTGCCGTATACTTTCGCGTACCGTTCTTGCGCACGTGTCCCTCGCAGCCGCGTTGTCCCACAAAGCCGAACAAAGTTGGAGCGCGCGCGGGCCCGCGTAATGGCTCATTTAGACTGGAAGCGATGAGCGACGCGCGATTATCCAATGAGCGTACAGGTTTTATGGGAAAGCGTACAGTTTTCCTATAGCTTCCAGTCTGATCGAGCCATTATGCGTGGTCTACAATACGTGGAGTAAGCGTGGAGTAAGGAGTAAGGGAGAGCCCTAACTTCTAGCTTTTGGTGTAAGGAAGCTGAAATACGGGCATGATTTTTAAAATAATTGTAACACTGATTGATGGCATTTTGATTCACCTTAGGAGTAAGCCTAAGAGCTGAAGTAGGAGTAAGAAATAAAATGGATTTATTTCCTTACTCCTACTCCTTACTCCAGCTTACTCCATGTATTGTAGACCAGCCTTTATACAAACCATAGACATATATCTAGACCGAGCATTGAGCAGTGGGTTTAGAAGTTTACGTAGAAAAGGACAAACTTTATTTTGTGCAATTTCGTTCTCTCTCGTTCGCATGTGAACAGCAAGTAGCACAAAACAGAGTTTGTCCTTTTCTACCTGAACCTGTACCCCCACTACTCAAATAAGGGCAAACGCTCGGTCTAGATATATTGTGTCTACGATGCGGATCGAAACGGATCGCGCTCGAATCCCCCGCGACAGCGATATCGATGTCAGCTTGGTGCGCTACAAGTTGGGCGCGATAGTTAATTGTTATCGAACGGCGAGCGCGTAGAGGAGAAGCGTGTTCCGAACGACTACTTCTCTGACTGCGTTCCTACCGCTCGCGCACAGTGATGGACAGAATGCCTCAACCATTCTGTCCATCGCTGTATATATACGAACGATCGTGGCTAATCGGGAAAAAATTCCGTGTGAAAAGAAGTTACGCGTTACAATAAAATTGTTGCGCACAATTCCGTGACTCTGTAATAAAAACCGGCGAGTTTGTCGGGTATATGTTTCAGCCGCCGCGATACACGGGTCACGTATTTCCATGCTGATTCATACTGACTTTTATTTGTCTCCCCGCAGTATCGAATTGAAATTCCACAGGCGTAGATTCGGCCGAAAATGCAGCGATAACGTTACGGGAGCAAAAATCGCCGTAGATCTGCCAAGAAATTGTATGGAAGTATATATAAAAAAAATGTTTTACTAACTCTTATACATTTGTGCGCAACGTGACGCGTCTGCGTGTTTACGTGACTCGGAGATTTCCGGAAATCGGGCGCCACATCCGGCAAGCCTGGCATGCCTTTCTTTCCACCGGCGAGCGCGACTTTAGAATTCTTTCGATTGACGACTTCCTTGCGCGCGACTCATTGTTACTCGATATGCGCAGGACGTCTCGAAAAACAAATGTACCGACGATTAATTTGACCCTCTTTCGCATCGCCGATTCTTTCTACGCATTAGCGAGGATTTAACTTTCGCTAATGTAATTCTCCGTTTTGGGATTATCAGGTCGCTCGGTGTGGAATCGCAGCGGGTCGCGGTTTATATGCCGCGAACTTCGTGAGAAACTTTGAGAATGAAGTAAACACCTTCGAAAATGAACTAATAAAGAAGTTCTTGCAACTTTTACATTATTATGAAATGCGAGAATATACTTTTTTAAGGTGCGTTTTCACGTTTCCCTTTTAAGAAAGATCGCTACAAAAGTAAAGATGCGAAGGTTTTCCGAACGGAACAAACATGTGCTTGGTGAGTTTTAAGGCGAGCTGCTTTAATCGCCTTCTTTCTAAACCTCGTGGTACAGTGATAACAACATAAATACAAGCGGACGATTGATACGGCGCGTATCTTCTACATATACGTGTCACTTTCATATCGTATTTATTTAATCAAGTGTGATATAAGCCGGGAGTTCGGTTAGACGAACTTTCGTGCCCGAGATTATGTGTGTTTACAGACTTCGCCCCATGAGTTCGAAGAAATCACCGCGCAATCGGCGCGACTTATCGACTTCGAGAAACCTCCGTGTACATTTTTTCCGGCTGTATCGCACCACAAAATCATGATTTTCGTTATTCCGGACGGCATAGCTGAGCAAACCGAGCGCGGTATCTTTTTCAAGTGCGACTTTATGGAAAAAAAAGGCATATCGGAAATATTACAAACTCGCGATACGCGCCGAGTAATAGTCAACTGGTTTCACCTAGACGGAATATTTTTACAGCTATTGTCGAGTAAAACAGTATAAAGCTGACTTTTTGACTCTCAATCGACCGGGAATAAGAAACGTCTGGTTCGCTTCAGGCATTTCTTTACTCGGTATTACGCGTGACACAAGAAATGTACTCGTAAACGTTACTTTGTGTGTAGCACAGTATTTTTATTCTCTCTTTTTCCTCCCGCTGTTGCAGGTTTACCAAACCCCAAACGTTCGCGGATTGTATCGGGAACGAGCTTCCCCTCGGCTGGGAGGAGGCCTACGATAAGCACGTGGGCGCCTACTACATCAATCATGTCAATCGTAAGTTTTTCTTCTTCCGCTATCTGATCGAGAAGGTGCAGGGAGAACGGCCGGATACTCGCGATGCGAGAAGTGATTTTGTTTCGGAATTTTATGTCACGTTTCTGTGCCACAACGAGCGCGCGCACGCGTGGATTTATGCACGCATTTTCTTGCCCGATGGCGCTCGATGCCTTCGATCGCGTTTACAGAAACGGCGGAGGTTTAAAAATAAATTAAAGAGCGAAACAACGTCAATTCTGCGCCCGACAAGTAAACTGTCGTACCTGTACGATTATCGACTTTTTTTTGGAGATTTTTATCTCCACTGAATACTCCAATTATTTATTTTACTAATTTTTTAAAAGAGTTTCTCAAACTTTACAATATTATAAAAATATTATCATAAAAAACTTATAGAAATGCAAGTTCACTCCGGCTCTTCTGCGTCTTGCTAATTGTTAGTTAACTTTGCAGATGTAGAGTTACTTGAGGCTCTGAAAACGGGAGGCGTCACTTGCATAAAGTTGCGCTCTTTTGCTATATCACTAATATTAGATATCAATTTCCAAATGTTACGTCTTCAATTAAAGTTTAGACGCTGTCAACAATAAAAGTTACATTTGCTTGTTCATAGTTATACATTAATAGAGAAACAACAATCGTGTGAGTCTGTCATACGCGCATGCATTATTGAGATAATATTAAAGCGCTAGGATAATTTTCCATTCGCTCCGAGCAATGCTCTCGGAAGAATTCGCCAAGAGTGCCGCGAGCACCGAGGGGTAAACCGCTGACCGAAATCATGTACAGCAATACCCACTAATGCCCAGTGGGCAGTACTTAATCTTATTATCTTATTTCATTTTGTTTTATCTCTTTTATCTCTTTGGATTCTTTATAATGTCCGAGCAAGGCCAAATAACACCTACACTGTGAAAAATCTCCGATTAAATATAATCGGATAATCCAGTTACATAAGAACAAACGGACATATCCGATTAGATTGCGTATCCGATGAAAAGTATCATCGGTTTTTCGATCGAATTTCATCGGATATGTACATGATTTAATCGGAAAAATTAATCGTCGGAAACGCTACTTAATTGGTTTATCCGATGGAAATTTTTCTCAGTGTACCAATGCCCAAAAAATGCCTGCACTGAGAAAAATGTCCATCGGATAAACTAATTAAGTAGCGTTTTTTTTTCGATTAACTTCTCCGATTAAATTATGTACACATCCGATGAAAATGATTGAAAAACCGATCATATTTTTCATCGGATATATATCTGTTTGTTATTATGTGATTGGATTATCCGATTATATTTAATCGGACGTTTTTCTCAGTGTACACTGAAAAGAAGATCTGGTAGATTCAACCAGTCGTCTGTCAGAAAATGGACGAATCAGAAGTCCTTTAGGATTTACCAGATTTTTAGTGAAGTCTAGCAAACTTCTGATTATGAAATATCTCACGGTAAATCCTAAAGGAATTCTGATTCGTCCATTTTCTAACAGACGACTGGTTGAATCTATCAGATTTTTTTTCAGCGTAGTAATGCCCGAAATCTGTACGCCACAATGCCCTGAGCGGTTTACCCCTCGGCGAGCACCGATTCCCAACGGGACGTTCGTTGTTTTAAACGTGCCGTTGGTTTGGATGTTCGCAGAGACAACTCAACTGGAAGATCCAAGGCAGGAATGGCGAGCCATTCAGGAGGCCATGCTTCGCGAGTATATGCAGACCGCACATGACGTACTCGAGGTAAGTGCGGAAGACAATCGATCATAAATTTCCCGGTTAAATCGCCGTCCGCGAGAGCGGGATCGATCCGTCGATCCCCCGCTCGTCTCCGCCCGTGTCGATGAACCTCGCTCCGCCGAGATTAAAACGGACGTGAGGGAGCGAGGAGGAGAAACTGGTGGAATTTCAACGAGGGTCGACGAGGGCGGCAGGAAGTCAGTCCGTGAGAAATCATGTTACTTCCGGTCATTCGGCGTACCCTCGTGCACCACGAGCGCGACGGCGTAGATTAACACGCGATTAACCGCGTTCCGTCCCCCTGCATGTATCCCGGTAGGATGTGCATATTATACGCGTGTGCGTACACACGCCCGCGGATCAACGTGACGCCACTGGGAAACTGTGGTACACTTTTCTCGAGACGACGGCTACGTTCAGAAACCCCACCCGAGTATCCCAGCGTATCATTCTATCCTAGTTTCTCACCGTGTGTTGAACAAGGATAAAACGATACGCTGGAGCACTCGGGTGGTGTTTCTGAACGCAGCCCACGTCACTCGCGCCGTTCTCGAGAGATCACTTGACTCGGGTCCCCGAAAGTAATATCGCACGACGCGCTTCCTCGTTGTTATTAGAGCAAAGTTCCCGATTAGTGGCTTCTAATGTGAGATAGCAGGTTTTCAACATCCCAATTCAATCACAGATCCCTGCTCGCAACTACTGCACGATCTGACAATCAATTCTTTTATTCAACAGACTTCGCTCTACGAGCAATAAATTCACAGTGGAGCCAGCAGATGATGCCCAGCAACGTAGTTAGAGACCCCGCTATGTCTTATTATTATAGAATCCTATCTCATGATAGGGGACTCTCCTCTATAATATACCTTTTTAATACAATTTCCAGGTGTCTTTATCGAGAAATTACAGATCAATTCCGTACGTATCGTCCGCGTGCGTGTATTATTCCGTCGCGTTCACGCGACGTTAGATGTTTCTTCGGCGATAGTTAAAGGATCGCGGCAGGTAGCTAATTCCGAATGTTCGCGAGCGAGGAGAGGTACTTTGGCATTCCGTCGTTGACGCCAGTCTGGACCCGCGCCGGAATGCTCTTACGTCACGCGCGGCTGCGTTACGAATTTTTGACGGAACGCGCACCAGGTGAGTGGGGCCGGCGACGGGTAGAGGGAGGGAGGGAAGAGAAAGGAAGGAGGAGTACCGGCTTTAATCCGCGAGCAAACGAAAGATACGATAATAATATTTATCGCCGCGGCGGCGCGGCGACGCGGGTCCCGGGCGGGCGGGGAGGAATGTCGATGTACGGTATATTTATTTCGGGCGGAATACTGCGGCCATGATGTCATCGTCGATTTTCGAGAGATTGCCTATGTGGCTGGGGCCGCGCGATTCTAGTTTCGGGATCCCTTGCGTCCGAGTGGCCCCTCCCGTCCTCTCTCGCCGTCGCCGCCGCCGTTGCCGTCGTCGTCTCGTCGTCTCGTCGTCGACAGCTGCTCCCTCGCCGTGACGTACGGCGTGAAATTCGCCTGATCTCGAAGAAGGAAGATATTTTAGCCGATTGCACAAGGAACGTTCTATATTTTCCTTTCTGCTTAGATTGTGCAGTTAAAATAGATCGATTGGAACTTCGCTTCGATAGGTTCTTTTCTTCCCCCCCCCCCCCTTTAAATGATATTCTTGCGGTTAGAAACATATAGTTACGCTCTCCGGTGGAATGTTCATTGACATTTATGATTAAATATATATATGACGGTATATTTATGCTAATGTAAATCATATTTTTGCGTGATATGTAAATTTCTTAACAGCAACAAGTTAGGTGCAAAATGTTCGTCGATAGAAACGTTTGTGAATCTTGCAGCTGGGACGTTTATTTTGCTTTCTTCGTGTTGAAGTAGAAATGTGCAATCCTCTCATTGTGGTATAGGAAGAAAAAAATGTGTGAGTACGGGAGTGGACAAAAAAATATAGAGTAGGAAATTCGCAGAATCCGTTTAGTGGGAAATAGCAGTTGGACGCATTGTAGGAAATATAAGCTGACAGGCAGGTAACTTATTATTCAGAAGCTCTTGGGAAGAATACTTCCTTCTCAAGCGAAAACACCCATTGTTAATAATGGTAATAGGGCCGAAGTCTTGAAAGAGCACTATATTCGTTTAAATTCTCTAGCGTGTCTCCAGGCTTATAGGCTGGAAAATTAATGCGACCAATCTCGACCTTCGGAAGTAATACCAAAGGAAGAGAAGAGAAACTCGTAACTTGAAAACTAATTTAAGAAAGGGATCTGTGTCAAGAAGATTAAAGAGAATATTTCACAATGGGGTTTCCATTGAGGGGCTAAGAAAATGATAATTTATAAATAAGCTGGAATACTGAAATTAGAATTTTTCAATTGTACTTTTTTTAAATAACGGAAGTTTGATCACTTTGGCGTTTCTTACGTGAGCACAAAAAATCGACATTAATAAACAGTTAATATTCAGACTGTCTCTACGAGATACGCGAGGATATCGTTTTAAATTTTTAGATCGTTTTTAGATTTTCGAGGAATTACGATTTTATATGTCGTCTCCAATAAAAAGAAAACAACTGCGTGACTATCTAAAAATTTCGGTATGTATAGAAAGGGAAGTTAAATCGCCATGTTTACGTCTCTATACCGGATAAGGCATATTTGTCCCCCTAAATTGGGCGAATTTCACGCTGTGCAACCACGCGGCAAAGTTCGCAGACTAAACTCTTTCTCGCGTTTACGCACGCTGCGTCTACCACCTTTCAAGAAGAAAGTTTAGTTCCGAAGAATATAAATCCGATCCTTTATATAACCTGAGCGAATGTATTCGTACAAGTTTATACTTGTATAAATAATTTAATGATTTGTTCAAACAGTTTGAATGAAAATTAACCGAAATCTTTTTGATTCTCGAATCGCGAATATATTTTTTTTTGTACACGCAAACGACGGATTGGATCTTTTAGATTCAACTTGATATTTTTATACCTTTTAGAACTCTAACAAGAAGAACGGCATATTTTTCGACAATTTTTTTCCAGGAGAGTGCAAGAAATCATTAAATATGATTTTGAGATTAAAATTCATTGCATTTGCTGAGTTGCAAGAGACAAACGTTTGAACAGAGAAATTGTCTTTTAAGATTGCACTTTCCTTTCAATTTGACAAGTTCGATGCGTATCTTTTTTTTTTATTATCCAGTATCACCAATCGCGAAATTTCCGATTGTTAAGGTATGTTGAGAACTCGAGGCATTTGCCAGATCTCTCGCGGGCTCGCTTTTATAGTAGGATTAAGCAACTTGAGACCGCTGACCGCACAGTATACAATATTCAATAATTTATCATTTGCGTCATTGATCCATTAACCAGTTTATTGAGTTTCTAGCATCTATAAAATTCACCGTGTTTCGAGCGCAAACACGTTTATTGGGGTAAACATGTTTACGCGGGGAGTGGTATAGTGCGTGTATCCTCGGCGGTGGATACATCCTTTCGCGTCACAAATTAACAAGCAACGCGGTATAATCCTCGCGTGCGTATGTATGCGTGGGAAATAAGATATCCAAACCCAGATCGCTGCCAAGAGATAATGTGTGGGTTCTTACATTCTTAAAATTCTTGAAATATTCCGAGCAACGTTCCCATCAAAGATACACAACGCCGATACGATCGCGGAATTTTTTTCCTCTCGTATATTTCACAAACCCGTGGACGAAAACTGCACGGATTTCCCTTTTATTTTTCAGTCTTACAATAAATTATTTATACACGTCACATTCTATTCAACCGTTACCGCTCGGTTTAAAGAACGCTTTTATACGTGATTGGAATCTTTCATTGCGTTCTGAAACAAAATTATTATTACTTTCAAATATTATTAGTAAAACTCGCGCGCAAACATTTATTGCCTGTCGCCATTCGATTCTTCCGCGCCTTTTTTCCCCCCAAAAGCTGATCCCGCTTCGGCAAGAGTAATATCGCTTTTAATTAAACAGAGATAGCCGCTGATCATATTCGGCAAAGTGGACGCACAATTCATCGACGCGGATCTGTCTGGCAAGTCCTCCCGTTCTCTTTCGGGAAATGCGCGCGGCAAAACTCTTCCGCGGAAGCGTATTCGCATGCGAAACCGCGGCGCCTGGGAGTAGCTTCACGCGAGGGACTCGGAGGCATCGGAGGAACTTGGCGGCTTCCTTCCTTGGGAGTTTCACGCGTACATACGCGCCGTACGCACACGATGCGTGCGCGCGTGCACGCGCGCGTGCACACTCTCGCGCGCGAGCGTAACGCGGAGAGCCGGGGCTTGCATTCCGATGCAAATAGCCCTCTCCGCCGCCCGTTCTCTTCTCTCTTTCTCTCACTCGCGCCTCCCGTCTCCTCTCCGGCATCGTGCCGAGGCTCTCCGCGCTCGTCCAGCGACGGATAAGCCGTGGGGCCAGTGGCGTCTCATCGCGACTCGGCGCCGCGATGCGCGCCATGGAAAATTCGCCCTTTCGATGACGCAAAAAAAAAAACGTTCCGCTCACCCGTCACGTAATGCGAGTACAAGAATCTGTATCGCGATTATTATACGGTTATTGCTTGGCTTCCCGATCCACTTGACTCTTTCAAATTCGACACGCACTGCAACGAACGCACTATTTTTTTTGTTTTTTAAGTAATTTCCTAATTCCAGTTTTCAAACGAACACAACGTTTCTTGGACACACTGTGTCTCTCCCAATAAGTTTTTTGCTGTTGCAAATAATACGTTTATCATGTTTTTCTGTATATTCTTTCGATTTTACATAAAGCGAAAGAAAGCCACGGGCTCCGAAGGCACGACGTGGACGGATTCGAGTGTTTGTCGCTGATATATTCGACGCGATTTGTAACATTGAAACCGCTCTCATGCGAAACGCGTATATGTCAGGCGAATCTGCACGTGACACTTTTGTGCAGCATAATAAATCAATGATATCTGAGTCAACACGCGGCGTCATTGGATTT